CGGGTGGGGGTGGGGGCGGGGCTGCAGGGCAGGGTCTCGGGGGGGCGCCCCCGGGCCTCGGGTCTGTGGGCACCCACCGTGGAGCTTTGCTGTGAGCTTCAGGTGTCCACAGCGCCACTCCTGACGTGGACACCTGAGGACACGGGAAGGAAGGGACGGGGCGCCGCTCCGTGAAAGCTCTGATGCCGAAAGACACCCCCACCCCTCCCCAAACACCTGAACCTGGTTTTTGGCTACGCTGCCCGGTGACATTTTAACCTCTGAGAATGCACCTACCCTACAGGGTTGTGAGGACAACCACCCCCAACTGGGCATTACTCGATTTGAACACATGTGAAATAAGGCGTCGAGGCAAAAAGGCACACACACCTTTTCACTCTGTCGATTGTTGGCATTCCTGCAGTGTTTCGTGTTTACAGTTTTATGTAGAAATGAGCCGTGGGTCAACCTTGTGGTAAACCCAAGTGTGAGTCCAAAACAAAAAACACCACACATAAGAATTGTAACTACTAAAAAAAACTATGATCGGATAGTGATGAAAAATATGCTAAATGAAAATAGTTGAGTTAGATTGTAAGAGATTTCCTTCTGATTTGTCATCATTGTTTTTATGAAAACAGCTTTTTAAGCATAAAAGTATACATGTTGTAGAAAAATAATTCCAAGAAGGTCCATACCACTCCAATTCTGTTTATGTTAATGACCACATTTCTAATACAATGCAACTTAATATCATTTTTAAATGATTAAGTATGCAACGATTAAGACCTCATCTGTCCCTAAATCTTTTTCCAAATGATAACAGAGAACCTTGAAATAAGGCCTTGGTGTAATCAAAGTAACCAAATCCTTGCAGCAAACTACCTATATCTACTTTAAAAAATAGCTCCTGGGTCTTCATTTATTCGACTTAAACTTGCCAAAAACATTTATAAATTGTCATCAGGGTCATCAAGATGGCTTAGGACAGTGGTTCTCAACCTGTGGGTCGTGACCCTTTGGGGGTCAGAATATTGGGTATTTACATTACAATTTGTAACAGTAGCAAAATTACAGTTATGAAATTACAACAAAAGTAATTTTATTTTTTGAGATGGGGTTTCTCTGTGTGGTCCCAGCTGTCCTGGAACTCACTGAGACTTGCCTACCTTTGCCTCCCAAATGCTAGGATTAAAGACTTGCTCCACCACAGCCCAGCCAACAAAAGTAATTTTATGGATGGGGGTCACCATACATGAGGAGCTGTATTAATGGGCCATAGCATTAGGAAGGTTGAGAAGCACTGACTTATGAAGTAAAGGTACTTGTCCTAAGTCTGATGAGCTGAGTTCAGTCCCTGGAGCCCACTGTAGTGGAAGGACAAAAACTGACTTCCTTCCTCATGTGTGATGCACACGTATACACACACGATAGACAGAAAGGATAGATAAATATGTTATCAAATTACCCAACTCAACATTAAAAGTGGGACAAGAAAGGAGACTGGTAGAGGCAAGTGTGATTGACAGAAACCTCAGACAATATGTTGCAGGGACTGGAGAGATGGCATTGGATCACAACCACCAGAAATCCAGTTCCAGGGGATGCCACACCGTCTAGCCTCTAAGGGCACTGCATTCCTAAGGGCACATACATACACACAGGATTAAAAAATGAAAACAAAATCATTTTTTAAAGTGTAGCAACAGCAAGAGAACTTCAAATAATTAAATTTTACATGGTTTTATATGTATGGTGCCGGAATTGAACCCAGGTTCCTTGCATGCCAAGTGAGCAAGAACTTTACCACTGAACCACACTCCCACCTTGTCATAAGTTATGCCAAGATAGACATGATTTTTTTAGTAACAAACAATATAGTTTGAGACACTTAGTCTGGAGGCGTATGCATCTTTCTAGAGAAGTCAGCACACCTTCCTGTAAAGCTCCAGCTAGTAAACATTCGTTTGGTAAGTCATGCATGGTCTAGGTCACATGTTTTAAGCAAACATTTAGACATGTGAAAATCATTCCTATCTCCTAAGTCATACACAAAGCTGCAGACCCCTGTGTGCAGAGTGCCATCCTCTTGGAGCCCATCAACTGATAATCCTAGGGATGGTTCTTCAAGAAAAGAAAAAATGTGGAATCCATCTTATATAAAAATAGGAAGTATGTTTAACTTTAGAAATAGTTCCATCAAAACATACCAAGTTAAGGGGTTGCTACTAAGTTGTGCATGTGTAAAGTCTTGGGCTCAGCCCAGCACCTTCTGTGTAGCTTGACCAGTAAATACTGCAGACACCTTACTACCTTCTGTGAACACTGCTCCTCAGACTCAGGGTATGAGGGATAAGCAGTGACAGAGGCTAAGCTTATGATGTCAGGATTTTCTTTCTTTTCTTTTTTTTTTGGGGGGGGGGGGGGGTTGGGAAAAGGGTTTTTCTTTGTAGACCTCACTGTCCTGGCACTAGCTCTTGTAGACCAGGCTGGCCTTGAACTCACAGAGACCCACCTGCCTCTGCCTCCTGGGTGCTGGGATTAAAGGCGTGTGCCACCACCACCCGGCTGTTATCAGGATTTTCTAATCTTATTTCCAAGATAGAGAAACTTTAGGGGCTATTGGTCCCAGTCCCTCAGTTTATAGATAGGTAAGCCAGGGCCTCGGAACTTTAAATGCCCTAATTTCCCTTGCCATTTTCTTTATAAAATACCTGAGTTTCTGATTTTCATATGAATCACTAATAAAAACTATTCCCTAGACTGCTAATTTCCACAGATTATTGTAAAATGTTTTCATGACCTGGTTGGTCTTTTTTTTTTTTTTTTAATTCCTACAAAATTCCTGATTTGTGTTCAGAACGATGTAAAATTGGGTCTGGCTCTGTTGGTTACAGATGTGTCATGGATATATCGCTTTCCTATTGCTACGTAATCTGCCATGGATTTACTTGACTTTGCATTATTGCAGCTTTGGAGGTCATAAACCTGGCTTAGCACTCACTGGACTAAATTCAAGGAGTCAGTAGGGTGGTCCTCCTTTCTGAGGGATATAGGGAAGGATTTGGTTTCTTCACTTTTGTAGCTTCTCTATACTGGTGTGGTCAGGGCCCCTTCATCTTCATAGATGACATCAATCTGACTCTTACTCTATGTGCACTGTAAGAACCCTTGTGGGGGCTGGAGAGATGGCTCAGCTGTTAAGAGCACCGGCTGCTCTTCTAAAAGGTTTAATTCCCAGCACCAACATGGCAGCTAACAACTGACTGTAACTCAAGTTCTAGTGGATCTGACTCCCTCACACAGACATGCACATCAACTGCAGTGCACACAAAAATAATGATAAATAAAATAAATGCAATAAATAAAAAATCCTTATGATTACATTGATCCCAGCCAGATAGCTCAAAATAATCTCCTTCCTTTATAGTTTCCTATTAGCTTAGTCC